TTTAAATGGGAAATATAATGAGATCTTTTTCAATGGTGAATTAGAAATGCAGCGAATTAAAATTTCTGTAACTCACATAAATTACAGCTGTGGAGGAAATAGGGCAACAGCTAATAACGGACAAAAACGAAAGATCAGACAGTCATCTGAGTTCAGCGTTTGCATAAATATTTAATAGCCTGGTGCCCTCACCTTATAGAAGGGATGAAGCATTTCAACAGCGCTTGCCTTTTCAAACTCAGAGAATGTAATGACCACTTTCAGACTGAGTCTATTCTTGAGATTAATCAAAGTTGTTTTCATAACCTGGAATTTGAAATGCATTATTGTGGCTCAATTTGCTCACAACGTGTCTGCGTAGCAGGGAGAGAGAAACTGCTAAATTAACACTTGGATGCACTGCAGACACCGATGAGGCAGTGTTTGTTGGTCTGTTGCTCCAGTGCATGTATTTCAGCAGAACGTACTGCATGTGTAGCTACTAATGAAACAGTCAAGCTCCAAAAATTGCCCTTAACTTATAAATAAATAAACATGTATATATAGATATAAAGAAAATATGGGTACATGTTAAAAAAGTTCAGCACATATTCAGTGCTGCGAGTGATATATTCAGTAAGTCTTCATGGGTGGAACAAATGGCTACTATGCTTGTTATTTTTTTAACATAATTTGTTACCATCCCATTTATCACAGCATACGGTTAAGATAATTAAGATAATTACATCACACTTTCACTGATACAATCTCTTCCCAGCGGCTGCACGAGTTAAGTGTTGCACCATAACAAATATTTACAGCTCAGAGCCAGATGGGGCGGCCAACTCTGCCATTTCATTTTCCTTCCTCTGGGAAAAAGATAAATAAGAAAGATTCCCCACAGTTTCTCTGCCTTGCTTTCTGTCTGTGGGATATTCAGACTGATGCTCTTGAGGAGACAAGAGAAGGGCGTAACCAGAGCCAGTGAGTGAGCATTCTGTTGACAATGCTGAGCTTGGGAGAAAGTCAAGCTGTATCTAATGGGCTCAGGTTGGAGCAGGAAGCAAGGATTTGGATCACTGCTCCGAGGGGATCTCACATTCTGCTCTGGGTCAGAAATGCCGCAACCTGAGCCATCTATCTGGTGGGGCAGTAGCCAAGCTTCGCTTTTGACCCAGCCCTTAGCTGGAGCTCATTACAGCACTGACGCATACATTCAGTTCAGATGCAAAAACACTTGAGAGAGATGGTGGACAGAAAGACAGAATGAGAGGGGGAATGGACAGAAAACCTCAGAGACTGAGACAGACAGAGAGCAATCAATCATTTCACCTCCTCTTCTCAGTTCTGTCTGCAAGGCCATGAGTGGCTGTTTAGGAGAAATAATAAACAAGGAGAAGCAGAGGTTCAGGGACCACTGATGCTGCCAAATGCCACATTACGCAAAATAAATACACTACTGATTTGGTCTTCGGAAGAAAAGGAAAAAAAGAAATATATTAATGCTTGTAGTTAAGTGAGGTATTGATACAAACAGTGTCTGCCAGAAATACAGAGCTAATGCGTTAGTATTTATACCTCGTTCTTGATGTGTGATTTGCAAATGTAGAACTTCATTTTTTCTTTTCTGTTAACAACTTTTTTTTTTTACTGCTTCACCATTTTTGCTCGACCGTTTCCCCCCAGCTCCAACTTAGTGCTTTGATCGAGCATTAATATGCTAAGCATTTGATTCTGATATGTAGACCCAAAATGATGCAAACCATGCTAACTCACTTAAAGCTTGCTCACACACACACACAAACACAGACACACACACATGCACACACATTGGTTAAGTATCTTATGGGGATACTTTGCCTAACTGCTGGTTATAAAACCTGTCCGTGAACAGTCTCAAAGCAGCACAGCACATTATAAATTTTCAAAGCGTCTACTTTGGAAACTGAGTGACAAAACAATGAGCAAGCACTGGTTTATAATTGCTGCATAAAGCACGAGCTGAAGGAGCAATCAATGATTATATTAGTGGGAGGCTGTAAGACACAAGGGTTGAAGCTAAATTGACAATGGTTATAATTAGTCCTATTAGACGTGGCAGATAAATGATTACTTGTCACTTGTGTTAGTCAAATTTTCAGCCTTAATGCTGCAACATGCAACAACATGCTTGTTATTGTCAAAAACAGTATACAAAGACAGCAGATATATATATGTATATGCTGTATAAAACAACGTACACCCCTCATTGTTACCACTCACAATCTCACACAGCTTTCTGTAATTCACCCACATGTTATTAAGTGCTTTGATGCATTAATGTTATTGACCTGAAACGGCACGTCCAACTTTATTATCTAACTTCATTTCGCAACATACATAAGACCAGCTGACAACCAGTAAAGCACTTTCTCGTCTTCCTCTCAAGCACAACTGAAACAATGCTTACTGAAGGAGGAGTATGTAAGAATGGTTGAAAAATATAGTTTTATAAAACATTATTAATTATTCAAAATAGATGTTTTAAATACTTTTCAAGATGACTGCTTTTAAAAGGACAACAGTGCTTCTTATTTGATTATAAGTCTGTTAAGTACTTAATGCTGTGATTGATGATATTGATGGAACAGCCCATTTAATTTAAAGTAAGAAATAATGGGACGAAGAATGAGTTTCGAGCTACACTCAGGCAATAAAATCTGACATTGAATAAACCTGCTCATTGACTTCCTTTAATGCTAATAAAATGGCAGACTGCACTGCAGTTGCAGTACTTTGTTTTTTAGAAAGCGTATCAGTGGAGGATGACAGCTGGCTCTACTTCACTTCAAGGACAGTGGCCATAAAGGCCCTTCGTTTTCCATTTGCTATACTGACTACTTGACCGGGGAACTTCTTCAAGTGTGGGAGGGGTAAGACACTGACTCCTGCATAAATACATGTTGGGTAAGATCTATAGTCTGCTGTCAAATTACTTTTTTTGCTCTCTTTTTGTGCAAATATTAAGCCATGCTGCCTGTTTGTGTCAACATGCTCAGCATTTGCCCTCGTAGCGATGGAGAATTTATGACAAAAATACCTCTGTATGTTTACAAGGGAGGTATTATTTTCCTATTCTTCACCGTGGCAACAATTGTGTCTCACTGCGGGATCACTAATTTCCTCTTGATTGCACACACTGCACTTAAGAAACCCTAACTTACTATTCGCCCCTCCACCTGAGGCTTTTCCCTGATGTAATAAAACATTCTCATCCTTTTATTTATCAGCCTTTACCTCCACATCTTTACCATCCAAGATGGTAATTTTTACAACTGATGTGTGAGTTCTGGCTGACAGGATGAAGTCCTGTACAGCTCTCCACATCTGAAACAGATAATCCCACAATATCAGAGCTGGTGTCAAGGTTAATGTTGTGATACTCATAATAAAAGAACAAGACAAAACAAAACAAACAGTCCTGTTGATGCATCCATTTATTCTTCCTTTTCGAGCCAGTTTGCTTCTCTCTATCTTTTAATCTTCACTGTGACCAATAAATACATGTGTTTGTTACAGTTTGCATCAAGAGTCATGTTTATGGCTATAAAATCATATATCTGAGCAAAGAACTGCTAATGATTATTAATTTTCATGATGATTTGATTTGTATTTTGTCTGTTAGTGTCATACACTTGTAACGACAAGCTGGCATGCTGTTCTTCAAACACTCTTTTTTTGTCCAACAGCTCAAAAACTCACCAAATTAATAAGAAACATCAGTAGGTGAATCCTTTTCACTTGAAAAACGAGTCACTGACTAATTAGTAAAAGCTGTACCTTTCAAACATTTTGTGTCCAAGAAACACCCAAAGGGCAAGCCAAAATTTCAAGGCACACCTGTGGTCACATCTGTGCAACAGAGCATCTCTGCCATCAGACATATCATCGGTTTTACACGAAAAGCAATCTGTTCCCTCCTACCCAGTGTTTCTAATTCTCCTCACTATCCATCAGGACACTTGTCACGCTGTAATAACTGCACAAACATTTGAAGCAGAATCTATTTTTTACATAATAGATTTTGCCTCTGAATTTGCACCAATCTTGTTGAAGTATTTTAACAATTAATGATTAAAACAAGCTGCACATTAATGAAAACAAGAGGTTGAATAAAATAGGAAAAAAAACACATCGTAGAAATGCACTTACACATAAAGTAATTGCCTCTCATGTAAGTCTAGTACATCCATTAGCAGTCCACACAGACCTATCCATAACTGCGCAAAGGTCAAGCAAATCAATACACCAATAGCTGAATAACGTCAACACTACTTGGCAATTCAGTATTCTACTTGTGTGCAACCACGAGAGAACAAAAAGGGCAGCAGCTACAAAACCAAAAATTCAGGGAATGCATGTCTAGCAAGACGTTTCCTCTGGGCAAAACAACGATGGCCCAAAGTGCCTCTTTAATTCATTAGCAACAGCTGTATGCCAAGTATGCCACTTTAGGTAATAGGACTTGCTCATGTCTGCTCTTTTCAAAAAAATTTACAACAGACTTTCATTAAGACAGACGTGCTGACTTGGAAACTCCTTTTCATTTACAGCAGTGACTTGGGGTTTAAGTAGCTGAATGACCTCACTGCAATAAATAAACACTTTCCTCTGATTCAGTTATTTTCTACGATCTCCTCCTCCGTGATAACGCCTCTCCAGGCATAACAGTTTGGAGTACTAGCTTTTAGTGGATGCTCCTATTTTATCAAAATAAACATTAACAGAAGGCTTTGATGAAACCCGGCAGTCTTTCTTATTTGCTTTTTGAGAATTCAGCATCCCTTGATACAATATTAACAATGAATCAGAAGTATCAAGTCAACCAGATGCACATAGAGTACCTTGCAAATATATGGATAACACGAAGTACAAACTTGCACTGATTATTTCCAAGTCAGAATCTGACGGTTCCCAAAAAGATTAATATTTTGAAACTATTTAAAAAAAAATCTTGCCTTGAGGGTCTTGGATTAAATTACCTCTGTGAAGCTGTCGGGGCCGCATTCTATACCTCTGAAGTTACACTCCAGTAGCATTTCCTCCATGCGATGTCGAGTGCGGTTGTAGAACTCATCCATACTGAAGCGAGAGCCCAGCGGGCGGTCTGGCTCTGGAGCCAGGGGAAATCCTGGTGCCATGCCTTCTTCAAAGCCCAGAAGAGGACCCATAAAGATCAGGTCACTGTAGCTCATTTGAGACTTTCGTATGAAGTTGTAGTTACATACAGTTACAGCGGGAAAGGTCATATTGTTTGCCACTTTTTCGTCAAGCATTGTAATATAATCATATTGGAAGTAGTATATAACCCTGTCAACTACTTGATACATGAAAGCAGACAGTGCTAAGGTGAAGACCAGTGCCCACAAACCCTGGCGAAAACCAAACTTACTGTCCTCTACAAACACGTGGTTAGCTCCGTGAAGCGAGCAATTGCCAAAAAAAGTGGCGAGGTCATCTACATCGCTAACATTATCCTCCTCATCAGTGCAATCATCTACCTGACTACACCTATCCAGGCATTCCTGTGAGTCTCCATCACTATAATGTTTCTTTACCCGCTTGTAGTGGTCGTCAAAACCATCGCTACCATATCCCCTGCTAGGTTCGTCATCAGCAGAAAAGGAGATGGTGCACATAATTCGGAGCGGCATAGTGAAAACAGTGAATCAATAAAGCTGAAGCCAGAAGTCTAAGTCCTTAAAAAACTCCCAAAATACTGAAACAATGAAATGATTCAAGAAGAAAAGTATGCGTTATTTGGCTACTGATTCAAAAAACACTGAGCTAACAGGACAAATATGGTCCCAAAAGTCATAACAACTCCTGAATCAAAGCGAACAAACAATCTAGTATAGGCACTCTGGTTTCTGCCATCCACACCCATTCAGAGATGAAGTGAGATGCCTTGCTTGGATTTGTCCTTTTGTCTTGGGGGCAGATCCAACCCTTAGACAATTTCGAAAGAGTGAAGAAAAAAGAGAAGAAGAAGAGGACGGAGGAGGAGGCTAAAGAAGGTGAAGCCACGAGAAGTATAGGACACAGAATACTCCCGCTGGGCCCGGCTACAGGTCACTGTGCTAGGGCAGAGTTTCACCATTTACAGGAAAAAAAAGGAAGTGTTGATGCAATGGGAGAGAGAAAATGTAAGAGCTAAAGCACTGAATAGGCTGATAAATTTTTGCTGATTGCACTGTTTGGACTGAACTCACTCATCCTCTGAAAATAAAATGATCTCAGCACAATTGTGTAATCAAACGGAAATAATACCTAGGTATTATAGATACAGTACAACTGGAGCTAAGCAAAGAGTCAGTCATTAGAATATGCAGTGCAGAGATCAGTGGGATTGCAGTAGGATTTGTGTTTGCGATGAGCTTTAAACCAAATCAAGATTTTAATAAAAGTAAAGAGAAAGGCACGATGCTGCTAATGTGTAAATGCTCCTTTAAGAACAATTTGAGTGAGAAGGTAGGCAGTTTACGTCTGATTCCAGCTCAAGAAATTAGCAAACACCAAGGAGAGAAGTCAAGGAATTTAATCAAGACTTCCATTTGCCCATTGTTATTTCAATCTAATGCCTCATTTTATCAACAGATCTTACTCAAATTACATACCCCCACATAGCTGCAAGCAGTTCTGTGGAAAGCAGATTAACTGAAAGCAAATATGTAGAAGTCGTGAAGAGAGAGCGAGAGAAAAAACATCTCAGATGGAGGCTCGCATTATTGAATATGGTGATAAATGCAGATTCCCAGAGGTGGTGTTGGTTGTGATATGAAAAGGAAGTGTATGAGACCGAGCCATCTGTATTGATCCACCTCCATTAGACAACTGAGATTATTTTCAGAAACATGTTGGTGCCAGAAAATGAAATGGTAGATGCATTTAGGGGGATGACAACACACTTTACAATAAAAACCTACACCTAATGGTACCACAGGATACTTCAAAGGAATAGACACACTAAACCTCTAAAACCAATGCAAAACACATTACCTCAACTGATTCGTTGCGTAACGCCTTACCGTAATGTGCCAGTCTGATTTAATTGGAGGAAATGTAAATATCAAGTGAACAGTGTGGATAAGGAACAAGACTTCTGTGAAGACTGTCTAAAGAAAAGAAAAAAACAAACCCCCAAACTATTGATGATAAGAGAGCAAACCACAAAGAGTTGCAGCTTTATGCAGGAGGCTGCTTGACATAGCAGACCCTGATGGGCTGTGGTTCTTGAATATTTATTAATGATCACTAGATAGCCTCCGGTATCAAACCTGACCTAACAAGAAGGTCATGGAGCTCCCCCAGCTGAAGTCTCTGGGTATTCAGTGAAGTACTACTGCATGAATATTCACAAACACTAACGCCTTAGATTTGGAACGAAATGCTAAGTTGTGAAACTGTGGAGAAAATTAAATTGTGCAACAGCAGTGCAGTGACCCTTTGGATAAAATAAGTTGAGCCTTGTGTGCCAAAATATTTTAATTACTCAGTCTACATCAGTATAGCCACACTGACAGAGTTACAATAAATCTGTGTTTGTTCTGGCGACTATGCTTTCCTCAAAATGGATACATCTTGATTGTCTGGCTCCATTTTTCACCATTTGTTTCTCCTTTTATGTCGTTTTATTCCTTCATGTTTGTGAAATCCACTAGAGGGCAACAGCAGCACATCTCATCCTGTAGATGTTCCTCAGGGCTGAAGGTGTCATCACAAAGCATCAGAAAACTCGATTGGCAACATTTTAAGAGCAAGAAGATACAAACTGTGAAGCCCAAAGTACTTTTTATTTATCTTTTACATTTTTAGATCGATGCCATTCCTTGGATTATCTGCTTTCTTTCTCTTTGTGAGATTTTAACTGGAATAGCTAAAATGTGACAACGCTCCAGCTAAATTTCTCTGAATGAATGAACGAACAGGTTCAGTGGTTGGCCAATATGTGGGGCCCAGTTGAAATCTGATTTAAAACCTTTGGGGCTTGTTATTTCACTGCTCCATCTCTCCACATTTCTTCTTGTCTCTTGTGCATTACATTTCTGAAATAATTCTTAAAAAGATACCCCTCATTCTGAGATTTTGTTTTTCTAACTTTAACTTTTCAGGGAAACCAACTCTATGTTTTCACAAATGAAAACAAAACATAAACATTTCCATACATTCTTGTGTCAGGTCAAAAGATGGCAGTGTTGAGGTGCGAGTGTTCGCTGTCACTGCTACAGTATACACCCCTGGGGTAGGATTTCAACAAGGCCGTGCATTTCACCATTGTCGGAGTGAGAAGAGCGCAGGGCAGATGAGAGGAGAGGTTTTAATGCTCCCTTTCAAGTTCCTCTCACCAGCTCCGCTTACAGCTAGGATCGACCTGGCGTTGCCATGGATACATCGTAGCCGTCAGCAAGAGAGGATGCACAAAGCCCATTACTCAGAACACGCATAGTCACACATGTACACACATGGACTCACACATGCAGAGAAACATACCCGCTTTAAAAAAAACACCCCAAAACAGAGAAAACATGAAGCAGTGAAAATATCCGCACTTTCGCTTTCCTTTACACACACACACTCACACACTCGTTTTCATATCTTCGTGAGGACATCTAATTGACATAATGCTTTAATAGTCCTTTACCCTAACCTTAACCATCAAAACCTAACCTAACCATAACTTAATTGCAACACTGACACCAAAATCACATTTTGAGCCTCAAAAATGCCTTCAAACTCGTGGGGATGGGCATTTTGTCCACATAACTGACTGTAGGTCCCCACAAGTATAGCGTCATGCCAATTTTCTGTCCTCATAAAGATGTCTACACATGTACACACACACATATACACACACAAACTGACAGACTGAACTGATGTCTGATGAGTTCTGATAATTTATGTAAACCTTATTAATCTGACTTTAGTCAGGCTTTGAAGAGAGGAGGGGAAAGTCAAGATGACAAAATAAAGATATCACAAAAAAGAGCTGACACACCAAAGCAACAGTATTACTTGCTCAGAGGCAGTGTTCAATCAATATCCAAGTATTCATATTCCTGCTTTATTGTCAGATTCAATGGATTCGGCATGCGGAGGAAAAACAAAGAACGAGTAAACAAGAACCGAGCTGGTCCATTCCCACAAGATGCTGGGGCAGAGTGACGCCAAGGCCAAAGGCAATGATGCTGTTCTCTATAACACAATATTCTGTCTTCACCTTTCAGCTGGGGGGACTGCTATCTGAAAGAGATAGTGTTATTCGAAGAAGCTCCTCTGCTCGGAGGAAACAATATGGAGAGAACAATGACCTATTTTTTTAAGGGAGCTGCTGTTGCCAAACAACACATTTCTCATTTATGAAAGTGCAGAGGTGGCTAAAAGTAACCTCATGACCTGTCATACAGTACGACTCATAATAGGAAAATCAGTTCTGTGATAGACGGAGCTTGACTCACAATAGGAGACAATGCAGTTTAGTCATGTTTACAGATAATGGCTTTTTTAAAAAGTCTCATGAGGCTAGCACGTGTCCTGCCATCACTACCTATGATGGAAAACTCTAAAGATTCTTCCATTTCTTCATATTTTTCTTCCAAACGTCTTCCAGACTTTCTTGTATTATTTTTAAAGTGGTCTCGACCAACCGTTCTCAGGGGTTTCTAAGGTCTTTCAGAGTTTTTCTTTGGCAGCTTTTTCTCTCATTTTCAGTCCAGTTCTTGTGCCAGACTATTTTCAGAGGAACATTTTTTTTGTTTGTTAATTCACTGAAGCACTGACCTATAAATCATTAAAGCATAAAAGTGCATCTAACTCAAGAGATGAACCAGTGTTGTGTCTATCCATTTCAATTGTGCCTTTGATACTTTGTTATCAGCAGCCTGTTGCAAAAAACAAATCTGTTGCTGTTTTTTTTGTTCAGTGTATGAAAAATTCCAGAGATATGAAATGACAGTTTGACAGGCATAAAATAGTATTTTTGCATCTACAAGGTTATTACTAAAAAGCTACTGAAGCTTGAATGCTTGGCATATCTTAGCATGGTGTGACGTCTCTCCTGAAAAAATCAGAGTACTAAAAAGTTTGAGCAAACTGGACACACAGCAATATATAAGAAGTGATAGACTTAAAGAACTATTTGCAGTTGTTGAACAGTATCTCAAAATAATTTTCTTGACACAGGACCTGAGAGATCATCCAGCCTTTTATCCAACACCTTAGCTACTGTTCAGCTAAGCCTCATCAGAAATGGTCGTAGTGGAAGGGTGTTGGTCAAAAAGCTATTCTTTCAGATGGCAAACAGGGAGAAAAGGCTGAGGTATGCAAAGTTACACAAGACCTGGTTTGAAAACCAGTGTAAAAACTCTTGATGGAGTGTTGAATGCAAATTTGACATTTTTGGTTCAAGTTGTCATCAGTATATACAGAGGAGATCAGGAAAGAGGTAGAGCAGTGAGTGTCTACAGCCTGTCTGTAAAACACAGTGGAGCCTCTGTGACAGTTTGAGACTTTATTCCACCCAGTGGTGTTTGAGAGCTTGTCGAAATTGATGGAATTACGAACACAATAAAGTGACATCAGATTTTGATTCACCATGTAATACCATCTGGTGGCAACAGCTTCATGTTTCAGCATGAAAATGATCCCAAACACACTGCTAATGCAGTAAAAGCATACCTGGATAGAAAAACACAGAGCGAAGCACCAAATACCTCCACATTACCGAGGCAGTGTGGGATCATCTTAACAGAGAAAAAAAGGGCCTCCGATCATGTGTTGGAGAATCAATGTGGTCGTACCAAATGCTGACTTTCAAGCCCATTATACAAACTGTGTTTTGTTGTATATACTGTGTTTCTGTGTATATCTGGACATGTTTCAACAACTCAGGGCACCTATTTCCAATTTTCCTAACACAATCTAAAGAAATGAGGAAGGACTCAAGAGCTTTACACAGCATTGTAAAATACACAAACACATTTTGGGAAATGTGTATGTGTATCTTTGGGTGTCTGAAAGTGAGAGTGGACACAGTTTACTCACTACCTTCTGCTTTCAAGCGATGGCAAATCAGAAGAATGGTGACTTAAAGAAAGGTGGAATTAAAGAGAAAGGAGCTAAAATGGCTTGTTTTAATGAGTGGATTAAACGAGGCGAAGAACCAAGACCAAGTGTAGGACAAATACGGATTATTTTAACCTGTAAATCAAGCAAAGCCACACTAATTGAATTAATGATAAAAAATAGAGAGGTGAAACCAAGCATGCCAGGTCTACTTTAAGTAAAATAAATAAAATATATAGCAATAATAATCAAATATAGCGATTATGTGATTTGGCTACTACAGCAATAACTCAGAATAAATACACTGAAGGCACTACACTGCACTACACTGAGAAGATAAGCGAGAAGATTAAAGCAGCCTTTGTAGGCAAAAGTCATAATGACACAATATTAATAGATAACAAGCCGTGTCTTTTAAACCTGACGTCATCTAAGAGCAGATTCGGGGAGGTTGTAGATTCACTGGTGGCCTCACAATCACGGGTGCTGACTAATGGGCTTTTATGAGACGAAATGTGGGAGCTGCTGTTTTTCAGTTTACTGTGTGTTTGGTTTTTCCATTCGACACGCAGGGCCAATCGCCCCCTTACAAAATCGTCAGTGTTTGAAAGTTGTTTTAGCATCAGGGAATTTTATTACACCTGCATACCAGATTTTTTTTTTTCTGATTCAGCACACCTCCACACCTTTCTATATGAAAACCATGAAAATCAGACACTGTAGTCATTGGACAAACTAACTGTTACACAATTATAGGTCACTGAATGTTTGCTTTGTAAAAAGGGTGTCTGTAACTGTTAGCATCTCTCTACTTCTGACCCAGTGTATTTTTCTGGCCTACAGAAACCTGTGGTATCACTGTCCCATCCTCCCACTCTCTTGTTCACTTTGTGACTCACAGTTAGGAAACAAGACCACACAGTAACCTACAATATTTGTGCCTCAAAAGTTTAGAGCAGGGGGAGCAGTCTGGAACAGTCTGCTGCCTACATTTGTGCATTACTGCGGCATATAAGCTCACCCTGGGTATATAGTAACGATACATATTGAAAGTGAATGCATTCGACTAAGGTGCAAAAGATCCCCGGTTTGAGACTGTGAGAAGGCACAAATCGCCTTTCTGATCCAACCCACTGTGCCAAATCAAATACGAGGATCATCCACGAATAAGTGAGCAGCTGAAAGAAGCTTATCGTTTTTTATCAGTACATATTCACCTGCCAGTACATATAGGAATCCATTTACACGAGCAAGTCTATTTCACTCTATGAAGTGAAGCAGGGAAAAAAGTGTAACATGGAAACTGGGGCTGCACACACAAGTCTGCAACAACCATGATGAAGGTGGAACACAATTCAGTTGAAGTCGATGTATATAGCCTGTAACAGCCCACAGCCCACCTCACTTTCGACACAGCATCAGTGCCAACTAAAGCCTTCAAAGAGAGGTCCCTTCTGGCTCTGAGTTTTACTTTCTTCTGACTATTTCTCTTCCCCTTCACCCCTTCAACTGCAGCTCCTTGGACTACACGCTGACAATGAAGCAATGCAGACAACAAAGGAAGGAAGAGGTTGCTGCTCAGTGGACAATCTGAAGAGGGCTTTCATTGTGATGCAGACCAAAATCAAAGACACCGGCAAATATTTGTTCATACGAGAGTGAGCTCCATGTGGCAGTGACGGCCCTGCATTTCAAGTGGTGTTGATATTTATGACATGCTTGAAATTCACACTAGGTAGTGGCGGGTATCTAATAATGATATGCAGCTGGCAGCAGCCAGGCTGCCAAGTACTTAAAATGTGAAAAAAAAAGACTAGACTGAAATGGACACAGACAAAGCTAAATTGTTAAGGTCGAGCAATTAGCGCTGGATTGAAGCTGTATATGGATGCCAGATGGGATTTTAACAGGAGCAGACAGTTGGAATCAATAAAGACATCATATGTTTGCTTTTAAAATCAATGGAATTCATAGAAGCACCAGCCTGTTCAGATCAAAGTCGAGAGCACGAGAGCCTCCTTTTCCCTCTGGTTTTGATTGACATATCAAACGCAGCTGGGTCAGAGGGCAATAATTGTGGCTCGCTGATTGTCTTGCTCTCTTTTTTGTGGCACCAGGTTCCCTCTGAATGTGATTATCACTTTAGACTAACCCATTACCTCAGCGCTGAAGTCTCCTCTGTCTCCTGTTTCTCCTTTTCAACCATTTTGAGTCAGCCTGTGCTCGTTCTACCTCTGTTTGATTCATTCTGATTCTATCTCATCGCTCTCCTAGTTTTACCTTTCCCCGTCTGTGTCCCAGTGTTACAAAGATGAGTACCAGAGGGTAAGCAGGCTGCCTTTTAACACAAGAGCCAAGAGGCATGCAGTTATCAAGCAGAATGGTTTAAATATGTCACTTGGTGGCATTTTCATGAAGCAAATTCATCAGGGCACACCCAGACTCACACAGCTTTGGGATCTCAAGGCTAATATCAGTGATTAGTCAGTCTGCGTTGAAGACCTCCATCTGCATCATTTCATAAGTACCAAAAAGTGCTTGTCAAACTCGCTCGGTATGCATGCATCGATTTAGTCCACACTAAAGCCTTTAAATAGCCAATCACGCTTATTTTTGAAGTCATCTTGCATGTATATCACATAAATATGCTGAGGTTGTGGTCTGAAAGTCTGGGGTATTTTCTCTGGCTCAGACATAATGTGTCCTTGTCTGTCTTGCCATTACTGCAGTCTGACACCAATGCAAATAATTCACAGGAATTATGTGACAATCATGACATTTGCTGTCTTGCTTCCTTCCCAGATACGCAGCATTACTTTTTTTCAAAGTCTGGGAAAAAAAATGTTAAAAACATTCAGCTAGAAACTCGGTTGTCAGCGAAAGATTTTCATTATGGTTGCTGAACAAATGTCATTAATTTCACACTGCTCTAAAATAAGACTTTAGTTGCTCAAAACTCAGTATGGATTGCGACTTAAATTTCCTTCAAGCGACACAGCATGAACACTCTTGGTTTTGCTCTGATTGAAAGGAGATGGTAGTGACTGAAGCCCTCAGAAACAGCAAGGAGTTAGCTTGGCAATATATTTTTTTTCTCAAAATAACTCTGTGAAGTTTTCCCCAGCAGATTTTTTGGAAGCCAATAAATTATGGAAAACTGCAAGTCTAACTCATTAATGCAGATTCACAGCTTTTCAAAAATGCAGCAATTTCAGCTCAAACTCGTGGCAAATTAGATATATTCGAATGTTATCATACATATTCAGTTTAACCTTTTCTTTCCTCTTTTTTTCCCCCTTTCTGTGGCCATTAAGATAAGATAAGATAAAACTTTATTAATCCCTCAGGTGGGTTCCTCTGGGAAATTCGGTTTCCAAAAGCACAGCACCGACAGAATATTACTACAATAGCTGTCACCTACAGTTAGATCCATAAAATTGTTGGACAAAGACAAATCAAATAATCAATATGTGATTGAAATGCAGAGTTTGTTTGGGACTCACAGTCATTTTGACACATAGTCCTGCATTTTCACAGGATTAAAAGTAACTGGACATAATTTTAAATACAAGGATTTAATACTTAGATGAGCATCATTGATGGTCAATTACTGCCTGAACCTATGGACATCACCAAATTAGATTTCCTCCATATTCACTGTGAAGAATGTATGATCGTCATTGCAGCATTTTGGTTCAATCTTATCAGAAAATGTAGCCCTGTGCTAACTATCACCAGTCACATGATCAATAAACACTAGTGCCAACATTGCCTCCATTATCTGTCTATTTGAAACAGAGCATAATGTGTTTTCTTATCATTGTGGTGAAAGCTAATCTTGGTTTCATCTGTCCAAATATTTTTTTCAGAACTATGCAGGGTCTTGTAGAATTTTAATCTGCCCTTCTTGTTCTTGAGTGTAACCTGTGGTTTGCACCTTATTTTACATTCATGAAGGCCTTGACTTGCCTTGACTGTAGGCCTTAACAATAATATGCCTACATCCCTGAGACTGGGTTCTTGACTCAACTGGATGCTGTGAAGTATCTAGTCTACTATCCAGTAATGAATTCTGTCATCTTTTGCAGTCTTTCAAGCCTTTTGGTTTTGCTGAGCTGGTCAGTGTATTCATTCTTTTTAACGATGACCGTGATAGTTGAATTTTAAACTCCCGACGTTTTTGCTATCTTGTTCATAGGTTTACTTATTTACACCTAAAGATATGCACTATTCTTTGGACTTTATATTTAAACTTACAGCAAAAACCTTAAAAAATACTAATTCAACACTGTGAATGGACTTCAGACATTATATCTGCTTTGTTTGTTATGAAACAACAAGGTAGCTGGTCACAAAAGTGCTTGTCAGTCAATTGTCCAATTAATTTCAAGCCTCTGAAAATGGAGAACTGTGCATAAAAATGACTGTAATTCCTAAACAGTTAATGCCAAATCTTTGTAAAACCCCTTAAATTATAACCGACAGCCTGCACTTCACTCAGATATTGACTGTTTGATTTAAATCCATAACTACAAAAATTGTGTTGTTGTGACACAGAGTGTGAACTTTATGAGGTCATATTGAGTGCTTGGCAGATGGTGCAGGTAATTATTTGCACATTTTTCAGTTGTAATGCAAATGAAGTATGAAAAAACACAAGATTGGAAAACCAACAAGAACAATAAACATTGCAATTAAAAGAAAAAAATTCCACTAAATCTTTAGAAATTTCTTTTTGACTCTATCGCCACTGACTTTAATGATAACACAGTAACACCATTATGTCAGCTGCTAAAATTATCATTGTGTGAGTCAGAGTCAGAGCTCAGCAGCTCGCACTGGCACTCAGTTTAATCACTCATGAGCTGGAACACACAATGCTGCTTTAACCAAGGCCAGAGAGCAAGCGAGGCAGGACACAGATATTGTGGGGCACATTAGTGTTCAACACATCAATGCATTTTTGAAAGCAGGCACATGCATGCTGTAAAAAAGCAGTGAGGGTTTTTTTCCCCTGTCAGCTTTCAGTCTCTCATACAGAGACGTGTGGAAACACACATGTAACAGCTACTCCAACACTGCCACAAAATGTGCAGCCAACAAACATTTTCTCCTTTTCCACTTCTATTCCGCCATAGATGATGGGCTGTCAACTGAGGCCAGATTCAGCTGTTGCAATCACACATGAATATCTCAGTGTAAGGACCCGGTGCATCTGTGTACCCAGTTTAGTATTCTGCACCTCTGGAGAGCAGGAGCAAGGTAGGGGAAACTGGTGGGGAAAAAAGGGAAGGAGGGAGGCCTGTGGGGAGCAAAAGCAGTGTGAGGGAGAAGGTGGGAGCTAGATGCTTCAGCTTGGATCTATTTGTCATGTCAGATAATATGACAAGTGCTCCAAGGAGGAGTTTATAGTAACTAGATTATTGAGGGTACCTCAATTTATTTGCAAGACTTAGAGAGCCAACACTCACAGGAGCCTGACACACTCATCACCATTTAAAACAAGATTGGATTTCGTTCATTTGCTAACTGGATTATATTGTATCTTCTAGTAAAATGAAAAATTTGTCAAGGACGTGGATGGTTTGGCTAATTGGGGTAGCAACAACCACCGTTTTTGATCTCTGCAGTTCCACAAAGAGGTTGTTAAGCAGCCTTAGACCTGAAGGCTTTTATATTCTAACTCTCCCAGCTATCCATCTATCAGGACCATCACTAATCAGCATATTGCATTACAGGATCTACTATCTTTAAAACATAATGCCAGGTCCTAAATTTGCATGTCTTGCAGAAGGCATATCAATTTCCCTAAGCAGGTGGGTGGAAGGTTTGAGTCACATTTTAATCAACAAACCTCTGTGTCCTAATGAGGCTATCCCTGTACAGCTGTTTGTTCTTCTAAATCTAACTTCTAGGCATGCCTCAGACAAAAAACAGCATCATAAAATGGAAATATGGTGGCAAGTTGACAAGGGAATAGTTGTGCTTTAATTGCAGTTACATTCAGTATGAGAGGAAAACAGAAAAGAAATGCAGGGTAACTTGAGCAATTAAAAAACAATTAAAAAAAGGTATTAAAAGAGTTAGGCTTGTTGCCAAGGATTCAGTTATTAAGAGAGAAACGTGTTACGCTTTCATTATATCCTTTACCATCAAAAAATTAAAGCATACACTGCTTACAGTGCCATATCCAAAGAGTGATCAAATATCTTCTGGAGGATGTCCAAAGAATTAATGTGACATTTAATACTTTACATTTACCCCCTCAGCCTTGTACATGGTGAAAAGATTAGAGAGCCATCAACTGGTGAAGATTAGTATCTGGACAGGTGCTGACAGGCGCTCACTATATGAGATTTCCCCATCCCAAATAAGGGCCTAGCGGCTGATTAGAAGGGGGCAAAATCAATACGCCCTTCTCGTTCCCATGCTCAGCTGGAGTACGAGGCACCGAAAGAGGGTCAATGATTTAGCGCACCTCTTGCCGAAGGAAATTAATAAACATGAGAGTGCAAGGTTGTGCTGTGGCATGTATGCCGTTTACATCAGAGAAGTGAGAATGATGGGAAAAGTTAATTCAGGCAGCTGAGACAGCTAACACTGAAAGATGGAAGGTCACTTCTATTTCATTATGGCAGAGTAATGTTTCTCCTCTTTGGTGTTGCTGCTCTCTTGCCATCTCACTCTCTCACTTTGCTGATGCATTTTAAAAATCATTTTTAATTTCTTTTAGCTCAAAGTGTTTGGCCACGACATGTTCAAACATGCACGTTTCTGTTCACACCGGCAGTCAGTGTTAGATAATATAAAAACAGACATAAAAAATACACGTGTGTGGATTTACATCAAATGGAGGGAAGAGAATAAAACTTTAAAAAAAAAGAAAGAAAAACAGTACTTTCAGAGTAAAGCCACATGGCATCTACATCAACAAGGGGCAGTCATTAAACTATGTCCCGAGGAGCTGCAGTGACAGCCTCAAGTAGTTTGGTATTATACCTCCATGCCCAATTTACAAGCCAGATGATGTTTGCATCACAGTGGAGAAATTCCTCCGTGAAAACACAGCTTAGGGAAGAAAAGCATCCTCTGTTATCTTAGCGATAAGGACAGAGCTACTTGCATCTTCGTTATTTCTTTCTTTTTCTAGTTTTTCTTCCGCCTCTAGAGTAAGCTCCTTATGCGGTATGTTTTTCTCCCACTGGATAAAGGATCTGAGAGCCGAAAATTGGTCATATTTTGTTTACGCTTTATTTCACCAATCTTACTGATTCAAGGCTTATGTAGATTTTGATTTACCCAACCAACCTCTACGTTAACAAGACTGTTTTTCAGTATGTCTCTGCACTATATTATTTATGTAAGGAAATAAACTTATTGTACTCCTGTGAACTTTAAGACACTTAAGGGGAATAAATCCTGCCTTTAAGGGATAGTGTCTCAGTCCTCTTTGATAAATGCTGCAGGTTGCTACCTGGCTGGATTAAATAAATTCAAAGAGGAAAAAAAGGACATACTGTATGGGGAGTTACAGTTCATTAGAGCTCTGTGCTGAGAAAGCTGAAAATTATAGAGAAGGTAGCTGCAGTGGGGCCCAAATATAAAGTCAACCAAATGAAAAACCCAAGCATCTTTTCCATCAAGAGGTGTAAAGCCGGTGTTAACCACCAACTTTCAAGTGAATGACTCTGGGAAGCTACTTTGATGTAGTTGACGAGGAGCCAGTAATGAGGTGGTTGACTTTGCTCTCGCTGGAGCCTTATACCTCCCGAAACCTTTTCTCTGCTAATCAAATGACTGCAAGTCAGTATGCTGACAATGTGCTGATGTGTATGTGTAAATACTGTTGGGGGGTGACATCAGCCTCCTGCAAATGACTGAGTCAATTTCTGGGAAGAGCTGAGTGATGTTATTTAGGAAATTGCCACTGCAGTATACTTAAGCCACACATCTGTCACTAACCTGCTCCAGTTGAATTTCAGGAATAATGTTTTGCATGAATCAGTGCTTTAGCCCTCAAACAAACTGATTGTAAGTAAATTCTAGTTATTGTTCTAGAATTTATGGGATGACCAGATATGTTATATAACATAACAATCTTAAACAATCTTGAATAAAAATATAGGGAAGAATATATATATATATTTTTACCACTAATGATGCTGCTTGTCCAGCACCTAGGCGCAAAGATTTAATGAATGTCCAAAATGAGAAACATATAAGCCAAGTATGTCACTTCAAGTGCATTTTTTACCTACATTTTCTGCGTTCATAGTTCCATCTGTTTTGACAAGATCTCCAAAACCACTGGTTAAAATGTGGCCCCAAACCATGACAGAGGTGCCCAGTTAAGCCCAGTTCCTGTATAATTTACCTCAGCATTTTCTCTCTTTTCACTTCCTTATGTGAAAAGAGGCATGCTTTTACTCAACCATTTCTGATGAGGCTTCAGGAATTAGTAGATGGATCACCTGAAAGGCCAGATGCATCGCTCAGGTACTGTGTCAAGTTTTTCTTGATTTTTTCTTTTCCTGTTTCTCAAGGACAAAACTTTTAGATACGGTTTCTGTGCTGTAAAAAAGTTTTTGAGCCTGTCACTTCTTTGTTTTGTCCTCCACTTGTTCAATTCCTGCAGTTTTCTAAGGACATTTTGCACATCATGTTGAATTATGCCAGGTTTCTGGGTAACAGTTCTTTGAGAATCACCTTACTGATAGAAAAACACTATTTTATGCCTGTCAAAAGGTGTTGTTTCTGGGTTGTCTGTGTTAGATTTAACTAAAGAACGGGAAACAAATTATGTGTTTTTGTGACAAGCTGCTAGTAACAAAGTGCCTAAAGATACAATTTAAAAATATGTATTTTTTATTTGTCTATTGTGTGAAGTGGATCATCCCTTGAAAAGGCACCTAACTTTTTTCTTGAGTTAGGAGCCCTTTTTTGTTCAAATAATTTATAGGTTAGTTCTGCAACAAAATTTAGGTTTTAAAATATGACTTAATTTATTAAGGAACTAAACCTATCCAAATCTCACCCTATGTGAAAAAAGTAATTGCCTACTAAACCTAATAACTGGTTGTGCCACCCTTGGCAGCTATCAAGTGTTTGCAATAACTGGTGAACATCATTTCACATTGCTGTGGAGGAATTGTTTGCAATTACTTTTTCACACATGGCTAGGTAGGTTTGGATAGTTGTATTCCCTAAATAGCATCTTGTTTTATCTATCTGTCTGTCTATCTATCTTTTTTAAAGTAAAATAAATACAATTCCACCAAAAGCTGATAAATTCCCTGCAGGCAATACTGTACTGAAAGCACCCAGCTTCTCGTCCCTTGCTGTTGTTTGACTAAAACAAGCAAAAACAAAAAAATAAAAGTTCTTCACTCCAGATAGTGAATTATAGTAAATAGCTGGCCAGGGTTATTTTCACCTTTGTCATAGTGACAGCATGACCAGTTCTTCCTTTTGGCACAGCTTTGTTAACCCAAACAGAAAGGCAAACACTTGCTAAGAACGGGAAGTTACTGTGCTCTTCACAGCTGCAGCTGACACTTACTAGTACTGTTTATTTTCACAAACAGCTAATCTACAATTTTCCTGAGTCTGTAGATGCCATAATTACATATTACAATTTTCATTTTCTGGCCAACTAACATGAAATTAACTAATGTATAACAGAAAAAAGAAGTATATACTTGGGATAGGAAAATATTTACTTACATACTCTTGTTGAATCTTTTTTTTCACTTTATACTTGAGAGTTTCTTTAAAATAAACGGATATAATGTGCATCTTTCACCATTTTGGCACCCTTGACAGCATGACTGAATAAAAATGAGACACTGGAATGTGAAAAGGGGGCAAAACAGCACATTTGTTTTTATTTTAGACATCTTAATTTAAAACCAGAAAGTGCATCCACTGTAACTGAAATGTGCTTGAAACAAATGGTAGAAGAACAAAGGGTAAGAAGACAGATTGCAATGTTCTTTGTTACAGCTGCTCTCTGCTTATTTTTTTGACTCTGCTGTCAGTTTACATGGTATCAGATATGGGTCACATCCTGGAATAGACACAATCAGTCATCCAAAATAAAGCAAGCAAGAGCTGCAATTCAGAATCAAGCAGGAAAGACTATAGCATGAATGTGGTCTTAGTAACAAAGATGACTTCATGCTCTTAGCTTATGGTGCAGTTGTGACAGTAAATGTTATAAGTCATGTTCAAAATAACCAGTTAGAAATTCCTACCAGTCACAGAAGAGAGTTTATTGCTAATGAAAGTAAATTGTATCCCTGTGCTTTGAAGAAATGAGCAAGAAGGCCGTTAGTCTTTGCTGTTTTATTTAATCCTTGTCAAAACCACTATTAACCAGCAGAAACCTTAAAGAACAAAACTTGTTTTTTCTTTTTTTCCAGCCTTAAAGTGGTGCCGTGCGAGGAACCGAAAGACTGTGATTAAACAGAAACACAGTAATTGATATTCCTTGCAGGACCCAAGGGCTCTGCCAAACGAGAGATGGGGGAAGACGGAGAAGAGGCGAAAAAACGGAAATGTATTACTCAACGTCAGTAATGACCATAAACATATAAATCACAGGGAACTGAGGCTGTTACTGAGAAAATGAATCAGGCTCTGCTTTGAGGGGGAAGGTTGAAGGGAGCACATGAGAGATGAATGCAGGGATGAAGGAACGGAAGAAGCGAGGAAATGAAGGGAAACTCGCAGACTCCAACAACACTGCTCTGCAGGGTGTCCACTGGTGCTAAATCACAACTCACTTACAATTACTCACATCCAGGCACAGTATTTTTTTTAATGACCAAAGCTTGATATATAAACCTTATAGGCACGCCACAATAGAACCCTATATGTTTTCATGACACTGCAGGACACACCTAAGATTTAAGAGCAGCCATCCAGACGAACAGTTCAACCTCAATCAGCTGGAGAGCAGCAAGTCGATCATGATTTCCTGGCTTAAAAAAAAGATCAATGGTGTTAATGACCAGTTTGACTTTGTCTCAATTCACATGAGAAAACAAGGACACATATAAGCAGGGCACCACTCTTACTCAGCATCTCTGGTGTTCTGTCAGTGTTAACAGTTACAACAAAGCAGAAAGACAATTATTGTTTGGGCAGCTGATGACCATTCCCACAATTCATTTTAATTTCTCAATAGTTTTATTTTTTTATCCAGTGTGATCAGCTTCAACTTGGTAAGGGTATGGACATTTTTTCAAGCAGCAGTTAAACTGAGAAAGAGATTCAATCCGAAATTTAATGACACTCAGGTCTGCAGCGAAAGATATTTTCTGCTTTCAATCAATCTATTCTTTATCAATTAAGATCACAAATATTAAATACTACATAAAATAGAATAGTCCCTTTCACTAAACTAAATTATTGAATTTACTATTACAAACATGCTTGTTAAGATAATCCTTGATTCTAAATTGCCCATATGTGTGCGTGCGAGTGATTATCTGTCTGTGTGTGTCAACCTTGCAATAGACTGGAGGCCTGGTGTACCCCGCCTTTCACCCTGTGACAGCTGGGCCAAGTTCCAGCCCATCCCAGCTGTCAGAGGGTAAAAGTCCCTTCCCAACCCCCAAACCAAATTATATTCCACATAATTACGCATGTGCATTTTAATGGCACCATTTAAATACTGAAGTATTTTTTGAAATGTATGTATGCATGTTTATTATAGCAGTTTTAACCGGGTACTGATTACATTTTATTTTATTTTATTTTATTATTCATAATATTTTAATGCTTTAAATAATATGAATAGTTTTAAATTCACTGACTGCTCATTGATTTGTCCAGTGAAGCTGAAATCCTTCAATATGTGCTGCAAAGTTTTCTGTCAGTGAAGAGAGCAGTGTCCTTTGCTGTGGTCTGCTGGGGGAGCACCATCAGGACTAGTGACATAAACAGACTGTATAAACTGGAAGGGAGGCTGGCTGAAAACAGAACACTTCTGAAGCTGTGGTGGAAAGGAAGTCACAGACTGTGATCCATCATGGATAATCCTAACCACCCTCTGCACCAAGCATTGGGCAGGCAGCCACAAGGGTACATACATAAAATCTTTCACATCACAATCAATAACTCTTTATAATACTTTTAATATATCTTTAGAATACTTTTATTATTGCTTCAAAACAAAATTACAATAATGCTATAATGCTCGGTGCATAATATTCAAAGAGAGATAAATACTGACACGTACGAAAAGCATAGCATTTATGTTTTTATTATATTAGAGGTGGTAATTTTGTATAATTTTTAAAAAATACTTACATAAAAAGGGCAATAGGAGTCCTTTTTAATGATTTGAGTGCATCAGCAGCAGAATTAGACAGAATGTAAAATGATTGCACACTTTTAGAAAATGATTAAAAATATATAAATAAATCTACTTTCGCCTGCGCCCTTATTCGCAAAGGACGACCACAGCAGATACCTCCGCATGTTTGGCAGGTTTTCAGACCGGAAGTCTTTCCTGATGCAACCCCAACGGGATTTGTGTCTCCCAGGAATCTTTCACTTGTTAGGCAGATGTGTAAAGCACTACATTATGGAACCACATGAAATACATATGAATATATGCACATATTGGAAGGATGTATACAAAGAGATTGGAAATGAGAATATTGCACTTTACTTCTGATAACAGTTACGAGGTATTTACAGACTGAAATACATATACATATATATCTGAGGGGTGTAAACATACAGAATTTAACAGAAGAATATTGCACATTGAGACTCCACATTATTTACAGACAGAGTTCATCAGTGTTACAGCTTTGGGGAAGAAGCTGTGTGTTCAGCCTCTTTGTCTGTGTGTAGATAGCTCTGAACCGCCTGTCTGATGGGAAGACCTCGAACAAATTGAGTCCAGCGGGAGTAGAGTCGCTGCGAGTTTAATAAATAAAGTATCACTACTGTTCTTATTATTTTATTTATTTTTGTATAATTAACATATATTTCTTTCTCTACAGTGTTTTTCTTTTACACAACTCGGGGACAACGTCATAAGTTACTCTCATATGGAGCACACAGCCGATGACACGTTTATGCGAAGGTGCTGTCTGAACAGAGTGCACAGGTGGCAAAATACAGGATGCTCATGCTCGCTGTGAATTCATTGGACTATTACATGTGCTATTCACACACTGGCACAAATTGGCAGAATCAGACATCATGCAGACTTTCTACTATAGGGAGCTGGCAGGTTAAAGACCGTTTAATGTCCGTTCCAAATGCATCAGACGTTTAAATTTTCACTGGTACCTCTATTGTGTAACGCTTAAAAAACTGTAATGCATGCATTAAAACAGCTTAAGATCATCCCGAAGTTGCCTTTATTCCTTTCTTCAACTATGTATCAGTAGTGAGTAATATATAGATGACACACACACACACTTTCTGACACTGCCAACTGAAGACAGACACAACTCATGAAAATAAGTATGTCACAACAAACAGCAAATATGTTGCTTAGTGATGTGACACAGTGATCACTGGTATCTCAGAGCAGCTGCCATCTCAGATGAAAAATGCCAGCAGAACATGAAAACATTTGCTTCCGACTGAAGGTCTTTTTTTGATGTAGACAGGTGATGCGACGAATAGCAGACACCAATATTTTGTTTTTCGCAGTAGTGCTAAAGGAGTATTTCCAAACGATGAAGCAAAACAGCGATCAGCCTAAATAGACTGAATACAGAGTGGTGCAGTAAGCATTCCCTCTTAAGCTAAATGCCTAATTAGTTCATAGAGTGAACAAATTCACGTTGGGCTATGCTAACAACCTGAAGCACTACTTTAAGTACGAGCACCATGTTCTCCAGTAGCAACATTTAACCAGCTAAAAAGTCACATATTTTTGTTGCTAAGGATGAGAGCTCAGTAATGATTATACTGAAATATCTGCTGCACCTGCAGAATTACACTCTTCAATTATTGCCACATAAATCTCATCCAACAAACTAAAAAAAGCTAGACAAGCAAAATTACTTAACTTTTATTTCAATATATTTGTGCTGAGGTGAGGATACAACAACAACATTAAAGCTTTTTAGTTAACAAAGAGTTCTATAAAGAGTGCTTAACTTTCTTCTCACAATAAATATAGAAAGTACTGCATTGTTTGTGTCTCAGCCACCTAGTTCTATTTAATTAGATTGACTTTTTCCTCAGACTCTAATAAACAAAACTGAATCAAGCAGCTCTTCAGTCTCATACCTTTGCCAGAAGCCAGTTTTAGCCAGTAAATAAAAAATAAAATAAACAGACACAAGTACTAGATGAATTATCTCCATTTGTTATCTTTCTTTTTCTTTTTACTTGAGTATGCCAGTAGCAGTATAATACTTTAAAAAATTAACCCACTACATTCAGTCTCAAAGGGGCCAGCTTTTATAAACAAAGCTTGCCATTCTTGCCACTGGGTATAAGGCAAGCTGAAGTAAAACATCCTAGACACGATGGTTAAAAATATGGCTATTTTTCACAACACTGACACCATAATTTTATGTGGCCTTGATATATTGGACTTGACAGGAAAACAGAATTGAGCTGCAAGTATATTTTCCCACCAAGCCTTTAACAATTTAATCCAGGCTGTAGCTCTTCCTTGAGGAAATCTTTTGAAGAAATTATCTGGGAGGAATTCTGTTATTCTTTCATTTTGACTCTCTTGTGGACTTTTTTTTCTCCCCCCTCTCACTTCTCATTTGAGCATTTGTTCAAGTGCCTTTTTTCTTTCTCTTTTTCTCTTCCTGCCAAACACTTGCACTGCCAGCCTTCACAGCTGTTTCATTTTCTTCTCTCTTCACCTGCCGTTTTCTTTGGCTCGCCTCACACTCCTACCTCTAATTTGAACCACACCCCAGGGATGCAGCTCTCAAATGTGATTGAGAGCTGGCCATTCACTGCTGTTTTTTTTTTTCCTGTAGAGATTGTGTTTAGGTCTTTTCGTTTTCTCTGCATCTCTTGCAGTTGTTGTTTTTAAGAGAATGCCCCCTTTGGCTAAACATCCACATTAGCTGTCCTGTGGAGTAGTGCAACTGAACTACATCTACATCAATATCCTCCTGAGAAAAAAAAGTTTAGATACTTAGATTTCTAAAAAAAAATAAAAATTAAGTATTGTGCTTGAAAGAAACATGTTGCATTGTTTCATTGTTCAAAATTATTATTTATTTGATTTTTATTTCCTGTAGTGGTGTAATTTGGTGTAGTATCAGGTCTGGTTTGATAACAGAACTATGTGATGCAATGTAATGACTCCATTTCTGTACGGATTTTTGGTAAATAGTTTAGTTTTATTTTATTAATATTAAAAAAGCTAGATAACAGAAACAGATCTGATTAAATTAAAATAACAAATTACTAGCTTTAAAAACAACAACTCCATTCGGTGCTCCTAAAGCTTACTTAAACCTGGGCTGTTGTGTCACATCACCCATGACACTAAATGTTGGGCTGAGTGAGGCAGGCAGGATTTTACTTAGAACTGTGGAAGTGGAGTCACACTTGGTGCTCTCGTGAGATGAGCTTGATGATGGTCAGTCATTAGAGCAAGAAGATTACAGCTCGGAGGAGGACATACCAATTTTTGTGGAGCCCGGGAAAGGGCAAAATGACAACACCCCTATGTTCAATATGTATAAGAAGTATTGTGTCAGCTAGCATTCTGAAGTTGTGAGATTTGGTTTCTCAAAAGCCACACAGGACACCGACTTGTGAAAGCAGATTTAGTCAGCCTTGGTGCATTCTGTTCAACAGTGTTCACTCTTTCCAGAGGGCTTTATTCTTTTCCGCCTTATCAGAGACATCAAGGTCATTTGTCACTCTGTTGGATCTTCAAGAATCTTTAAGTGACTATAAGTAGTAACCAGCAAAATCGGATGCTAGGTTATCTGAACCACAGATGTGCTGAAGAATGTTTCGGTTCCAGAATGTTTTCAGTTTTAACGCTACCTTGAGAAATCAGGCCCTCCCTCTCGTTTGTGCGCTCTAAATGTTTGACATTCTTGTTAAATGATATAAAGAGAGTGGGAAGCCCACCTAAACGTTTATTCTTGCTTTCTGTCAACATGCACAGTTTAATCTTGTTTGGTACTGAAACAATCTCATTAATCAATTAAGTGGGAAAGAAAAAACAGCTTTAATAATTAATTTATTGCTCAAACACATGCTTATGAAATACATTTATTTTAATACATTTAGTTTCAACTCATATTATGTGGCTTTAAATTCAGTCTGACTTTTTATGTCTTTAAAAAATGCCTTTGTGTTGTCACATGTTAAATCTTTAAGGATTGATTGATTATTTTTCGGGAACATAAGGAACAGACTGTTTTTCAGAAGTGTGGACTCCTAGAATAATTAATATTTAAATATATTCAGCTCCAAACAAGCTGTCACTAAAGCTTATGAAGAAAAGTACTGTGTCTTTAACACATTAACACATTTAACACATAACACACACCAAGATGAGCTGCTTTTCCATAGAAACCAATGCCACAAAGCTTCTGGTACACAGTTTCTGTGCTAATGTTAATGCCAGAGAAGATCAGGACAGCAGGTTATTATTATATGCCTCAGCACTAAGTGACGCCGCTCTGTGACTTTATCTGATCTGTTGCTTCATGGCAGAGTTGCTGTGGTTGTTAAACACTTCCACTTTGCAACAATAACACTTATAGCTGGAATATCCAGGAGGGAAGAAATGTCACAAACTGACTTGTTGCTAAGTTGGCATCCTATTACACTACCACACTGAAACTCGATGAGGTCTTTCTTTCAAATATTGGGTCATTTGAAAAGACAAACTGCACAGATTGGTTGCTTGATTTTATTCACCTGTGGCAATGGTACCAGAGATTAACAGGTGTGGCCTAATACTTCCTTATAGCAGAAGTTACTGGTGGGGCTGAATTTTGTTAAAACAGGTGGCCAAAAGCTGAGTGTATCAAAGCATTTGAAACTTCAGCTACCTACAAGACATACCATTTTAAAATGGTAAGGTAATTTGTCTGTGTTGGGCTGTTCCAACAACATTCATGGTTAACAATATAGTTATTCTATCAATTATAATTTTATAAGGGACAACACAACCAGTCACACCAGTCACAGCAGCTCCACCCAGACCAATGTGGACGTGAAGCTCAATCTTTTATGATTTACAGCACAGTTAGACTAAAAAGGCTAGCAGGTGGATTTGTCAAAACAAACACTATGTAATCTAATGAAGAGTGTATGAATTGCAATTTATTTTAACAGGTGTTATATAGTAAATGGTTGTGACGGGCAGCAGCCAATTTGTGCTCGTTGGGTAAATCACACACTCCCATTAAAGCTTAAGGTGCTGAAATTAAATTTCACAATGCATAAGACAGGCGTGTGACTCACCTTTTCATTATTTTGTACTACAAAACTGAATGTGCCGCTGAGTCATTCTCGAATATGATTCAGTCACCAAGCTGCTTCAACAATGGGCAGCACTTATCGTGTAAGTAAGACACTTTCTCCAGTCTGAAATACATTTCACAATTACAAATAATGTTTTATTAATTTGGGATTTGCCCATTGTGTTTCTACTCCACCGTGCATTAACCCTAATACGCAGCTAACGAAGAGAAATTCTGCTTCTAAATAAACCTCTCAGGCACCTCACTGGAATAAAACACAATCTCATTTCCACCTTTACATTGCTGTAATGATGGCTGTTACATTAGCCAGAGACAGATTCTCCAGATTGCTTTAGAAGGGTATGGAAATGAGTCTCCGTGCTACTTTACTCACTCTGTCTTTGATGTGTGATATCACAAACAGGTCTGCTTGTGTTTTATTACAGCTGGCACACAGATAGGGAACATAGGGGAGGGGGTGATGAAGGGGTATCTCTGGTGAAGTCTTTTCTGGGTTGCTGAGCACAGTCTAACCTATCTGATAAGCATTATGCTTTTATGCTTTCTTTTATGAATTCTCAGGAGGAAGCCTCATAGCATACTTCATCATGAATATGCTATGGCAACGCGGCCTAAGGGCGCAAAGTTCCAACTTCTCAGAGGGAGATAAGTGACATTCAGCTATGTAAAAAAACTAATTGGGCTTAACCACTTTCTTTAAACCAGAATAGACTACACATGTTCAACCAGGGTAATAGCTCCATCACTTATTCTCATGAACAAAAGACTCCAGCAGGATAGCAGCCTTTTCATCCCATCAGTGATAGGTGTCGGTGGCGAAGCTGAGCGATGCCGAAAAGACAGATTTACTGTTCAGTGAAGGCCAATTAAACAGAGAAGAGTGACGCCCCCCTGCATGGCAGTGTAACACTTCACTTGTCCTGAAGTGCTTCACATTGCATTTCCTCATTTTCTATATGCCCAGAGTCACTACTGATTGCAACACTTAAGTGAAATACGTGTTGCTCTGGCGACCTTCGTAAATAAGAGAATCTGGGGTGAAGGCATCGGGGTGAGTGAAAAAGGGATATAGGAAGTACGTCAGAAAAAAAAAAAAGGCTAGGAAAGAGCAACTAGAAGTGTGAAGTCAGAAGAAATACAACCAGTGTCGAAGAAAAATATAAATCAGGACCTTTTCTTGCTTACGTTAAAACAAAAGACGCCTATTTAGTTTATTTTGTATCCAATAATTTGACTTTTTTTGGTCTTTTAAAGTGTAAGAAAGTGTTACTTTTAACCGAGGAAACAATTCATTTCTTGTGCATTTCTTAGTCTACAGACTAAATATACAACCTCAGGAGTATTCCTGAGAGCAAGACGAAGGCTCAAATCCTTTAGCCTGTATAAGCTTCTCTAAGCCCCAAACCTCCTATTTGGGCAGCTGCATTCTGTGCGTGAAAATGGCTTAGAGTGCTGTCAGGCTTGTAGGTTATGCAAACCACAGCACAGAATTATCTCTCTAAACACGGTGAGTGGAAATTCATTACCTTGGCCGTTGTGTCTCTTAACAGGAACTTCACAACTCAATTTAAGAGTACAATGGTGGGGAAATGTTGTGATTTAAAGTCTATATGGAAACAGGGCAGGACACGACGACCCAAACTAGTTACTTACTTTGCATAGTAAATTTGCTTAAAAGACTTAATGTTTTATGACAGTACAGAAAAGAAGGACAAATTGATGATCATATTTGAAAAAAAAGTAGTGACCCCCCCCCCAAATAAAATTAATGTATAATCAGTGAAGAAGTCTGTTAAACAATGAAACTGGCAAAGCTGCAGATTGTAGCCTGTTTAGCTGTACTGGGATCAGCAGGTAGACTAAGTACGTCCATTGTTTGAAGAGAGAACAAAACAAAAATGTGACTCAGAGACAATCCCTGCATTGTGTGCTTGGTTGTGCAGTAACATAAACTAGACACAGTGTTTTTAAGTTTGCTGCCTTAACAATGTCATCACTTATGGAAATATATCTTAAGATTTATGTATTTTCTCTGAAAAAGCCCTTAAAACAGCAACTAACCAGTGTTAATTAATTGCCCTTGTATTTGCACAGCCCAGTACAAACATGTTTGTTAAATAACGGGTTGATTATTTTTTTTAACAAATGTTTAGACAAGCTCCAATTAAAACGATCCAATTAAATGTGAATCTCAAGACAAACTAAATTTCTGTTTTCTTTCAAGAATGATTAAACACATGGCTCAGATTCAAATAGTACATCTGAAAGTACTTTATGAAAATATGGTGTTTATTCTTTGATGGTGGATCATTACAAAATATAATATAAATTAGAATAAATTTAAAATTCAGAAATAGACGTGTAATGTCTTAAATTTTTGTTGACCTTTGCAAAGCCAACCATCACCATAATGTAATGCCTAATGCCTCCTATGAGCTTCAATCCTTCCCTGTCCGTAGCAATTCTGCATCAGCCTATAAACAAATCAGTCATTGCATATGCGCATTAGCATTTTGGTTGGTGTGCCTCTCTGGCTATATGTCATCCCCCTTTCACAACATGTGCAGCATCCAAGTAGTGGGAGCTGGTGTGACATGGGATAAAAGGGAACTGGTGTATGAACGAAGGAGGAGCAGCGATGGCGATAGATTCTGTGGGCGGCTTGTGTTGCACTGAGATACAGGGTGAGCAACAAGCAGACTCAGATGAAGGCTGACTCGTGCTACAGCGTATGATGCTCTGTCAGAATGTGATGCCAGTAAAATCGCATACGTTTAACACCACATGCTGCGGTGGGTTTTCTTCCTTTTACTGGATTAAAGAGAAGTCACCAATACCAATGTGTACAAGAGAATACGAGACAAAATTACTGTAAGTTAGTGCCATGTTTCACCTGTGTTTACAAGCCTCAATAACAACACTAAGCACCTGTACTGAAGTCTTATGTAGAACCTTATAAAATACAATTTAACATTTGTCAGACTTCTACCATTCAACAATATTTTGGCATTAACATGAACAAAACAAGATCCTTTTTTCATTTAACACCTGACAGACAGATTAGTTTGAATCTTAAAAGGGGCTCGACAGAAGGAAAAGGTCAAAATGTACTTTCGAGTCCACCGAAAGGGTAGCTACGTGAGTTTGTGTGGTTGGGAGAAAGGGTAGGGTAAAATAAATGAGGGAAGAAAAGGAAAGAAAAACAAATGAAAATGAAAAAGAGAGGTGTTGGAGTGTCGTATTGGTTGTTTCCTGCAATGGTGTGTGTGAATGTGATGTCTTGCTGGATCTCAAATGCTGTGTGTCTCTGTAATTTGCAGAGCTCTGCAGAGGAGATCAATGAAATGAGCAGTTGTAGCATCCAGTCATGCAGCAGTACACCACCTCCAGTTTGGCTGGTGACTGAGCCCTGTCTCCCAGTCAGCCACGATTGAAGTCCGCTGTGGCAGATCTGCTGCTAAAGGTCATTGTACTCATCAACTGCCCACTGCCTCCCAGTTTGATGGAGTGCAGTCTAAAGATCAAATGTCTGGTTGTTAGGCTTGCTGTTCCAACCTGTACAACCTCACACTTCTCGTTGGGTTGAAAATACAGCCTGAAAAGTGCTAAAATTGATTTTAGTTTGCAGTTATTCTGTGAGGCAATGGTTTTGATATATTATATGAAAGAGTGAAGTCAATTCTAAAAACAATCCGTTTAAAGGAGCAGAAATAAATTCAGGTAAAAGGTCTTTCTGTTGGTAGAAAGCTTCTGTGTGAAAGATAAACTTCCCACTAGATATTGTGCTGCTACTAAGATGACCGGTAAGTAATGGCAACCAGTTAAGGCGTCCACTAGAGAAGCTTTGGGGGACTGAATGCAACAGCATCTCCTTCATCATTTAATTTTTAATCTAAGAGAAAAGGAGCTTTACAGGGAGAGAGAAAAAAAGAACAGGGGCGTAAGAGAGGATAAGGCAGAGAGAAGCAAATGCCAACAGGTCAGTGGTGGACAGCCTCAGGCTGAGAGCCACAGACGCAGAGCTCATTAAAGACAGACTGGTTTTTCTGAACAGGGGGACAGTGTGGAGCGAGAGAAAACCCAATGGCACTGGTCTTTTCTGTGAGGAAGATGGATTGTAAGGGAAACAGACAAAAATAACAACAGACAAAGGAGAATGTGGAGCAGAGACACAAAGGCAGAAGGAAACAGTAGGATGAACACAATTTCCTTGTTCTCAAGAAGCTATGTAAGAGGACCTATGTTGTGTGTCACTGCAAGACATGAATCAGTGTGAGCTACAGACTTTTTCTCTGTGCATTCACTGAGTAGTCCACAGTCAACTACACTAGGACCTGTGCAGACTCTGCCAACTTTACAAGAAGCTCCTTCTTTCTCTTTTATGATGGGATAAATAAATATGCATATGTAAAAAACCCAGAAATAATATGAAAGGCTTTGAACAATAAAAAAAATACAAGGTTACAATGCAGAAGCCTAAAAAAGAAAAAGAAATAATTCTGTCACAGCAGCTTGAGTTAGTACAAAAAAAGCAGTCTATACATAAGCCTTTGTTGTCTCTTTATCTGATAGATATTTATTTCTTTGCAGTTTTTCTCTCATCAGTCTTTAGCCTTCTGAATTGTTCTCAACACCTTGTGAGGTGCCAGTGTGGACACATTTGCAGCAACAAGGACAGAATACTAGATGGAATTTGCAGGCTGTCAGGCATCCAGGTGAGCCTGTGAGGCCAACAGACATGCTGAAGGTTAAAGTGGTGATTTGAGTGAGAAAATGACTCCTTGCCCTTTGGTCCTCTGTCTCTTCATTGATTGCTACACCTTTTGAGTCACAATTGTTTAAATGAGGCTTTTTTCGCTAAGTTACACGTGGACAAGTGTGTTCGTAGTCTGCAGACAGCGCGCATGCGCACATGCATACACACACGGGGGATCGTGGCTCAAGAGTTAGGAGTTCGCCTTGTAATCGGAAGGTTGCCGGTTCGAGCCCCAGCTTGGTCAGTCTCGGTCGTTGTGTCCTTGGGCAAGACACTTCACCCGTTGCCTACTGGTGGTGGTCAGAGGGCCCGGTGGCGCCAGTGTCCGGCAGCCTCGCCTCTGTCAGTGCGCCCCAGGGTGGCTGTGGCTACAACGTAGCTTGCCATCACCAGTGTGTGAATGTGTGCGTGAATGGGTGGATGACTGGATATGTAAAGCGCTTTGGGGTCCTTAGGGACTAGTAAAGCGCTATATAAATACAGGCCATTTACCATTTACACACACACATACAATAGTAATGACAGGGACTAGAAAGAGAGAGCATATTTCTCCTGTATTGGCTTCCTGTTAAATCCAGAATTGAATTCAAAATTCTGCTCTTCGCATTCAAGGTCTTAAATAATCAGGCCCCATCTTATCTTAATGACCTTGTAGTACCATATCACCCTATTAGAGCACTTCACTCTCGCACTGCAGGCCTACTTGTTGTTCCTAGAGTATTTAAAAGTAGAATGGGAGGCAGAGCCTTCAGTTTTCAGGCCCCTCTTAACCAGCTTCCAGTTTGGATTCGGGAGACAGACACTATCTCTACTTTTAAGATTAGGCTTAAAACTTTCCTTTTCGCTAAAGCATATAGTTAGGGCTGGACCAGGTGACCCTGAATCCTCCCTTAGTTATGCTGCAATAGACGTAGGCTGCTGGGGGATTCCCATGATGCACTGAGTTTTTCCTTTTCAGCCACCTTTCTCACTGACTATGTGTTAATAGACCTCTCTGCATTGAATCGTACCTGTTATTAAGCTCTGCCTGTCTTCCACAGCATGTCTTTATCCTGTTTTCCTTCTCTCGCCCCAACCAGTCGCAGCAGATGGCCCCGCCCCTCCCTGAGCCTGGTTCTGCCAGAGGTTTCTTCCTGTTAAAAGGGAGTTTTTCCTTCCCACTGTCGCCAATGTGCTTGCTCATAGGAGGTCATTTGATTGTTGGGTTTTTCTCTGTATCTATTATTGTAGGATTAACTGTACAATATAAAGCGCCTTGAGGCGACTGTTGCTGTGATTTGGCGCTATATAAATAAAATTGAATTGAATTGAACATACCTCACATCCCAGGGGTCTCCTTATTTCTCTTGTCACCAAGTGCACTGGACCTAAATTTAGAAGAAATAACTATCATGGCTTTCCCGGAAGACTGTCACTCTAATTGTGTGTTTTCTCCTCTGTCATTCATTATTGTGTGGCGGAGCTCAACTGTTGCTAATGAGAATATCGGGAAATATTGCTTTTATCTCACACCAGAGGATGTGAGGACATTTTTTAATAATGACAAGTCTTTAGAGATGAGATGAGCATAAGAGACATAATGACAGTGGAGACGAAAACCATGCCCTGTGATATTCGCTCTTTACTGTGGAGAAATAAAAAGTACAAATTTGCCTAGAAAAAATAAATAAGCTGAGAAGATGAAATCAATAAAAGTTAGAATGAAGCAGTATTATTCTTTTTTTCATTAAAATGTTACTGGTATGTTTGAGTTTAAAGAATAATAATGACGCTGCTAGACTGAACCGCAATTCAGTGTAGTAGCATCATTTCAGTCGAGTGTAAGGGCTATAAAATCTGTGCAGTGCACACCAACTCCAGTCTATGCTACAGCTGTAAGAAGTAGTTGTCTTTTCAGCAGCATTACTCCTGAAAATAAGCTGGCAGAACAATTATCCTATCATACAATAGTACACAGGTAAGATAATTAATATGATAAAGATCTTATATTTTTAAAATAATCTTATAAATTGTATGATAATTAAATAAATACACTAGCGACTACATTTTTAACCTTGGATGAGAAGTGTGCAAAATTCAGTTAAATTCAATTCAGTTCAATCCATCCATTCTCTTCCACTTAACCTTAACAGGGTTTGGGTGGGTGGAGCCTATCCAGCTATCATAGGGCGACAGTACACTCTGGACAGGTTGTACTCACATTCACACCTATTTAATTCAACTCAATTCAACTTACATAGCGCTAAGTCACAACAACAGTCAGCTAAAGGGGCTTGAATGCAAGGATGCAAACACAGTTTACAGATGAGGCTGGTGTTGACTGACACATTTAGGATGGCTGTGACTCAGGAAGTTGAGCGGGGCATCTACTAATCGGAGGGTTGGTGGTTTGATCCCTAGTTTCTTCACTCTGCATACCAAAGTATCTCTGGGCAACATACTGAACCCTGAGTTGCTTCAGATGCATTCATCGGGGTGTAAATGCTTGTGAATGAATGAAAGATGTACATGTAGAA